AATTTAGATAGAAAAACAAAAAAGCATTAGTTATGAAAAGATGAGGATATGAAAACTGGAGAAGCAACAAACTTTTCAAAAATTCAAAAAAACTTATTTTAATATAACTACTTACGACTTTTTATATATTTTATTTAATAAATTTTAGTTTTGGAAATGTTTTTAAGCTACAGCATATTTGATGAAATGAACGAAATTTTATCATTCGTTATTATGTTAAGTAAAATGCTTATACGTCATTGAGAGGTATACGGCTCGGAAATGAATCTTACTACTCCAAGTAACTTTTTATTTCATGTCAGTGATTGAAAATCTACTGCACTGAGATTTTTGTAGATAATTAACCGTTGCTGTGTGCGTCGTTTTGCAATATAGGGGCTCGGTTTGTTCGCTTTTTGATCTGGTATTGTTTGAAATAATAGATTAGACTTATTGAGACGCAGAGATGTACTTATAAAGTTTTCTACACTATCAATAATTTAAGGATGTGTTTTCGATCTTATTTTTATTTTTATTTTGCCAAATCTAATTTTTTTGAGGTCTTGTTCGAGACTGTTGGTTGCAACAGATGAGTTTATGTCCGGAGTGGCTCACTCATTAAGTACATTTAGACAAGGTAACCCGTCTTTTGTCACCATATTTCAATTTCGGCCGGATAGATTCGTGCAACTTCTCAGTCTTATACCGATCTTAATCTTAATCTTACTCTTACATCTACTAGTCTCAATAGATCTAGTGTATACTGCTATTTGCGAGTTAGAACTGTTGTGAAGGAGAACGACTGTCTTCTAAGTTATATTTTTTTCGTTATGTCGCTGAAATTATGGATAGTTTCAGCGTTACAAACAATTGTAAGTGTTAGTTATGGATCATGATTGGTTAGTTAGAAATGTTTTTTAGAGATAGATAATTTTATTTAAAATAAAATTGGATTTAAAAACTAGTTTTAAACTGGTTCCAATACCATACGTTAGGCCTCATGCAGTCATTTGTACCCTTAAATGCATAAAAATGCGTTCCTGAGGACAGCTCTTGTTTTTTTGCAAATTTGTTTGAATAGCTCCTGAACTGTCTCCTTCTTCAATAGTGCTCAAAAAACCGAATGTTATCTGCAAGACATCCAACAATTTTTGTTTCTTTGAAACTTTTAGTTGTTCATGGTAATTGTTTGCGTTTCCGACCAATAAGAATGCAGCGAATGTCGAGTTAAAAACTGAAAGCTCTAGTACTAACTTGCTATTTTATATATAGAAGTGCCAATTCTTTTGTGGATACCATAGATGGGGGTAATTGTTAAAAAGATCAGTTACCTCCTCGGCCCAGAAGAGTGGGAGGATGTAGGTCCAGTCACTAGGAAGACTCTTCAGACTGTCCAGGTGGAACTTCCTCATCTGAGTGTTCACTTGCACAAGCTTCGCAGCTGAGATCGCAACTCCAGACTCCTAACGGCAACATTCATTCAAGCTTAGGAGTTCTAACTGTGTGTAGGAGTTTTGTTTTAAAAGTTCTAATTTAGTTTTTTTAATTGATTTTAAAAACTGTTTTCTTCGAAAGTTCTTTCAAAACATTTGGCTGGAGAACTTAACAAGTGAACTTTCCAAGCAATCAGACGGCTGAAAAGTTTTCTATTCAAGGTAACCAAATAGTATCCCGGGATGACCGAAACTTCTTATCATACAATTCCCATATATGAGAAACTTCTTGTCATACAATTCCATACAATGCCATACGTACAGAACATTGTATGAAATCTCTATGATAAACGTTTTTCCATAAATGAAAATTGCATGATAGACGTTTTACCATAAACCAAAATATTTGATTTTTTTTTCTAAATTTATTTTCTGAAGAGTTTTCGGTTGTGTTTGCAGCCGAACACAATTAACAAAGACCTTGGTTACTCAAAGCACAAAAGGTTGGACGGTCTTTGCATTAACAATGTATAGCAAACGACCTGAGTTAGGCTGTCTTTCACAATTGATATAATAAAAGCAACAAACTTTTAGTTTTTGGCAAAATTTTTTAATGGAGATTATTTTGAATTTTTGAATTTTCAAATTATCAGACATTGATCAAGGCATATATAAACACCCCATACAAAGAAAATAGGAATTTTCAGCGTTTTTGAAGAAAAAAAATTAAGTCAAAAGAAAATAAAAGCCAATATTATTGTAACCAGGACTACGTTATGCACACAAAAAATTAAATTTTGCATGCAAAAAAAAAAATTTTCGAAAAACGTTTGTTTGCGTACGAAATTCGATTTGCGGTTGAAAAAAAAAACAAAAAGTTTTTGGGCCAAATTTTCAAAATTACTTAAAAAATTTTTGTTTCGCCATCAAAAAAATGCCAGTCATACAATTTCCATATATGGGAATTGTATGATAAGCATTTTTTCAAAAAACGAAAACCTCGGTTTTTTTTTACCAGACTGTTTTTATTAGAATCAAACAGCCACAGAACTAAAATTATATCTTTTTTCAACCATTTTTAGAAATTGTATGAAAATTGTATGACAAGCATTTTCCCATACACTTGATGTATGGAATTGTATGATAAGCATTTTTGGTGTATGGAGGTCAACCCGGGATATCAGAACAATTAAGAAGCATTTGCAACTATAATAAAAACATATACTTATTTCATTTCCTTGCGAAAGAGTTGTTTCTTGTGGTTAAGGAATTCGCAGTTTTGAGAATGTCTGCCAATCTGCTTCACAATTTCCAGTACTCTGCCCCTCCCGGGACTCAAGTCCATTCACTCACGAAAAACAAAGTAGCCACTACCCGTTTAAAGACGGAAATACGGTTTTGAATGCTGTGTTTCATTTTGGCTCTTAAAATATGCTGCGACAGTTTTTTCATATTTCGTTTAAATTAGAAAACATACGTTCACAAGAAACAGCTATAAGTTCTGCAAAATCTTTAGGCAAAATAGTGACTCTTGTGCTTCTCCATAATTTTCGTCCTCAAATTTTAACACTTCAGCCAAGCCAACTGTTTTTAACTATATCTCAATAATCATTTTGGGGTCCCACCTCAGCAACCAGAACTTTAACAAAGATCCAAGAAAAGTTTTAAACTATTCACTTTTGGTTTGTGTAAGATACTCGCTTTTGATGTTTGTAGAGTTTTTGGGGTGGTGGGAATTGGATGAGACAAAAAGTGTGAAAAAAGTGAATCACACATCTTCGAGTAATCCTCCGAGCTCACCCATGCTTGGCCAAATACTCAAGCTAGAACACTAAATTAGCTGTTAAGACACTAAACTTAAAAAATAAAAACAAACAACAGTTTTTTTTGGAAAGTTTTTTTGCCAAATTAAAAATCCAATTAAAAACAATGCGTAAGTTCTTAAAAATTTTTTATCAGACAGCAGATGCAGAATGAGAACAATGATTGGGTTGAGCCTCGAGGTTTTCTGATTTGGAGAATGCGAAAATGCAATGTCACTGGAACACTTTGCCTAAAAAGGACTTGTCCACATTAAAGCAATCAATCTCCTACCTTGACATGGAAGCTTCTCATCTCAATACGAGTGCACTTGCGTGCATGCATCCGTGGTGTCGCTTCACTTTTGAACCCACTGAGGTGTCCGGGGTATCCACAGCAGTCCAACTGTCTCTTCGCCAATTTCAAGCTAACACGAGACTTTAGGTGAAATTCCTGAAGGATAACAATTTGAATGAGATATCTGAAACGTCTCCTCTGAAATTCTTGAAAGCAGTTGTTACAAAACTGTCAAAAATTTGTTGCCGACTCAGATTTACCTGACTCATTGTATTCGGCACCGTACAGTACGCCCATTGTTTTTGAAATTAAAATAGATTTGAAACAGAGAATTTGGATTTTAAGCGTTTTAGTAAACATTTGCTCTCTCAGTTCAATCAACTGCGGAAAAACTTATGGTTAGGAAAGGACAAGTTTTGGCCAAGATTTTGTCAAGAACATGTAACAATGTCAAGATTTTTTTACATTTTTATTTTTACTGGTGAGTTTTGAAAGAGTTTGTTACTTTAATGAGCAAACGGTTCAAACTATCAATCAAATGGACAAAAAAGCAGATTTTTTTTAACTGAATGATTGAATCATTGTATCATTTTTTTCAGCATTCACATAATAATAAATTGATTCACTCCCGTATTCCATGAAGATAGCTCCTTAAAAATGGCCGTCACTGGGCTCTAAAACACTTTTGATCAAAATACATCAAAAATTCAAAAACTTTTTGGAGAATTTCTCGTGGGTTGTATCCCTTTACAGTGTTACTTCACAACATACAGCAAAAATATTTTTACTTTTCAGAAACTGTTCACGCATTTTAGCAAAATATCTTTAAATCAGCAAAAAATCTTCTTTACAAAACTTCAAAAGTCTGAATTTTTTGAACAAAATCTAGTCGGTTGTTTTGTCCTGTTCTTGTACTCCAAAATAAAACATATCACCCACCGCTTTGGTACATACGTTGTCAAAACATTTACGCTGCTCTAGCAAGGACAGATGCCATCAATTTTGGACAAAAGGTGAGCTTTGAAATCGGGGTCTTCAATTACAACGGAGGTCAGAATGATGTCTTTAGAACAAAACGTTTGAAATGGAGGCAGACTACAACAACTTATCCGTTTATTAGCAGTGCTTTTTGCATCGTTAATTTAAATGGCGTCTTTACAGTTCTGTCAGTCCATTTTAAGTCATGTCCAAATTATCCAAAAAAAGAGTACTTGTAAGGGGAAAAATATCATATCTTTGCTAGAAGTGTTTAATTGAAACCAAAACTATGTTATAATGATCGGACATTTGGACCTGCGATTAAACCTTCGACATTTTTTTAACTTCCCTTAGAGCAAAGCTTTCTTGTTCAATTCATAAGATTTTTTTTTTCGCATACCAGTTTTTTTAATAAAGAAGTATGCGATGAAAACATGCGAATTAGACATGTAATGTCTCGCATGAGTTTTGACGCAGCTAATTTGATTCATTTGATTTTATTTGTTGGTGATTTTGCATCTGACAAAATAAATTTTCAATTTTTTGCGTGCTTATTAAACTCTTCTGTTTTTAGTCACGACACGGTACCAAATTGATTGCTTACCAATTCATTCTTTGCTTTCAAAATTAATCAACTAATTATATCTCTGTAGGATAAACGTTGGATATAGCTTAATATGAGTCAATTTCATATCAAGGCTTATTACAAGTCGGAGATAATACGGTTTTGTTTAAAAACGTCTTCTACTAAGATGTGCTGCGATAATCTCAGAGAAGAATTGCGAGAAAAATTTCCATCATTAAGGTTATCTTCAATCTATAAGCCTTCCTCTAATTGTCTCGCCACTTTTTTATGCACTCTAATAAATAGTATCGATGCGCAATTTATGGTGCCCGGGTCGAGTTCCCAGTCTCATGTCCAGACTGTGAGGGTCGCGCCGCATCCGGATTTAGATCAAAATTAGATAGTTGCGCCGACAGCTGGGAAAAGACACGTTTTGGCCAAAATTTTGTCAACAACATGTAACAATGTCAAGATTTTTTTCTACACTTTTTTTTACTGGAGAGCTTTTAGAGAATTTGTTGCTTAAATGGACAAATGATTCAAACTATCAATCGAACAGATAAAAAAAAACTGATTTTTTTAAAAATGAATGATTGAATCATCGTTTCATTTATCAGCATTCACATAATAAAAATTGATTCACTCCCGTCATCTATGTAGATAGCTCTTTATTTGCCGTCACTGGGCTCGAAAACACTTTTGTTCAAAAAACATCAAAAACTCAAAAACTTTTGGAAAATTTCTAGTGGGTTGTATCCCTATACAGTTTTACTTTACAACATGAAGCAAAAATGTTTTTACTTTTCAGCAACTGTTCACTCATTCTAGCAAAATATCTTTAAATCAGTAAAAATCTTTAAATATCTTTAAATCTGTGAATAGTTGCCTGACAATCAGTCTAAATATAGCTAACTCTTGCTTAATTGAAACAGGAACTGAATTTACGTAAGGTGAATGTCTGCAACTAGCTTCCAGATAATAAAAGCTGCAACTTGGTTAACTCTGCGACCATAAAAGGTTTTATAGCCAGAAAGACTTTGGTAAAATTGAGTTTTTAGCACGATTCTTGCAATTTAGTCCGAAACAAGGTCACGATAGTTTGAAAATCAAAACGCGACACCCGTGTTTATGTGTGTGTGTATGTATGTATGCATGTATGTATGTATGTATGTATGTATGTATGTATGTATGTGTGTATATATGTATGTATGTATGTATGTATGTTTGTAGGTATGGATTTATGCATGAATTTATGTAGTATGTATACATGTATGTATGTATGTATGTATGTACGTATATATTTGTATGTATGTTTGTTTGTTTGTTTGTTTGTTTGTTTGTTTGTTTGTTTGTTTGTTTGTTTGTTTGTTTGTTTGTTTGTTTGTTTGTTTGTTTGTTTGTTTGTTTGTTCGTATGTTTGTTTGTTTGTTTGTTTGTATGTATGTATGTATGTATGTATGTATGTATGTATGTATGTATGTATGTATGTATGTATGTATGTATGTATGTATGTATGTATGTATGTATGTATGTATGTATGTATGTATGTATGTATGTATGTATGTATGTATGTATGTATGTATGTATGTATGTATGTATGTATGTATGTATGTATGTATGTATGTATGTATGTATGTATGTATGTATGTATGTATGTATGTATGTATGTATGTATGTATGTATGTATGTATGTATGTATGTATGTATGTATGTATGTATGTATGTATGTATGTATGTATGTATGTATACATGTATGTATGTATGTATGTACGTATATATTTAAGTTTGTATGTATGTTTGTTTGTTTGTTTGTTTGTTTGTTTGTTTGTTTGTTTGTTTGTTTGTTTGTTTGTTTGTTTGTTTGTTTGTTTGTTTGTTTGTTTGTTTGTTCGTATGTTTGTTTGTTTGTTTGTATGTATGTATGTGTGTATGTATGTTTGTATGTATGTATGTATGTATGTTTGTATGTATGTATGTATGTATGTATGTATGTATGTATGTATGTATGTATGTATGTATGTATGTATGTATGTGTGTATGTATGTATGTATGTATGTATGTATGTATGTATGTATGTATGTATGTATGTATGTATGTATGTATGTATGTATGTATGTATGTATGTATGTATGTATGTATGTATGTATGTATGTATGTATGTATGTATGTATGTATGTATGTATGTATGTATGTATGTATGTATGTATGTATATATGAATGAATGTATGTATGTATGTTTTTGATTTGACTTTGTTTCGACCGACTCGTTTTTATTTTGGACTCTTAGTTCGACTATAGGGCCTTCTCGAGTATGGATTTTTGGTCAATATCTGACAAAAGTTAAACCCGCCTCGGCCGAAACATAAATCGCTAACCTCGACCCGGGCAATCTGGAAAGCAGTCGCAAAAATTTAAATATATATATATATATATATATATATATATATATATATATATATATATATATATATATATATATATAGCAAGTATGAAAGCTGTAACTGTATGTATTTTCTCAAAACAATTAGAGGACGACTTTGATTTGAACGCATATCAGAGACTTCAAACTACAGTGGAAGGACGAGGAAGGTGATTTGATAAGCTTCTCGAGGGATAAAGAACTGGAGTATGCTCTGTCAATTCTACCCGATGATGGCCTTCTCCGCGTTTATCTCTCAGACGTATAGATGTCAAAATCATTGTCAACTCAGTCTAATGATATCGTGACAATTGCCGCTAAACATCTGGTGGCTCAATCAGCTCAATCAGTTTCAATGTATTATATTTGATTAAATTTAAAATTTTAATATGCTAGTTTCAAGCAAGAATTGTGCACCATCGAGTAATGCAAAACGGTAAAGATTTCTTGAATGCAAATTTAAAGCTTTCAAGAATACAAAAAACATATTTTTTGATACATCAGCATAATTTAGCAGATATTATTTCACTTTAAAAAATTTTACTTTTAATTCAGTTGCCTTACAATCAGTCTAAGCTTTAACAGAATTTTTAAAACTTTTTATTAGAAAATGTATTTAAAAAAGTTGAATTTTTTTCAATTTTTGTGGAAACTTGCCTTTATTTTGATTTTTGTGGCCCAAAACAGTTTGGTCCGAAAATTCTGCACTACTGGTTTTATTATTAGTTTTCAACAGGAACCCAATTTAAGTATCATAATACATTTTATTAACCGATAAATGGAATAAAAAAATCTCAGAAAAATTATGTTTGTGTCAAGAAAAACTAGTCTGTGTTTTTTTCGGTTTTCAGACAAAAAACACTTCTCAGTTTTTCTCATTTGAGTTTAACGCTACTTTAACAATTTTTATCTCTCCTTCTCTAATTTTGCACATGATTCAGGTGCCTTCATTGTTACTACCATATTGAAAAACAACAGAAACTTTACACAGAAACTTTATTGAAAAAAAATTCAAAAATTGATTTTCAATTTTCCGTAAAACTTTGATACTATACTGTTTTAATTTTTCTTTAGAAAATAGTTTTTGGTCCGAACATTTTGCACATCTTACAAAAAACAATCTTTTTAATCTTCTTAGTTTTTGCTGGTCGACTTGCAAGAAGTTTTTGCTGTTTTTGATGATATAGCGTGCCTCTGTGCGTGTATTTGTTTGCTGCCCAAATACTTGCTACCCATTCATGGCTGAAACACATGCACTGACCGTTATGAAATTCACCGAATACCAGCAGTGTGCTGGTTACTGTTTTTGTGGTAGAAGTGAGACTCGTGTCAAAATGAAACCTTGAAGGTCACAAGTTCCTCCTACAGTCTAAAAATGACTTTTTTCCGACTTAATTAAATTTTAAATTTGAGGAAACTTTTTTAATTTATTCGTTTTTTTAATTACTTTTTTACATTTTTCATTTTTTTTCACTTTATTCAATTTTATTAGTCTTTGCGCGCCATTTTAAGTAAAAAGTAATCGATTTCACGTCTAACATTGTTTTATCAAAAAAAACTTCTGTGACTGAAATCAATTTGGAATCGTCTTTGAGCCAGATTCTTTCGCCATTTGCGAGTCAAAATTATAATATGTTGCTGTTTCATTGTTTCCAAATTAGCGCCATTGGCAAATTTCATAGCCCCGCAATTTTTGGTGATGAAATGAATGATTTTCAGATGGTATACAAAAAACGGCAGTTTTTTCAAACCAAAACATGGCTCATTTTCCTTTGCCCCAACCTGAAAAAGTTTGAAAGTGTTTTTTCTTTTCACGTTGTCCTATTGTTATTAAATTGGTATCTTTAGACTCATTAGATTTGACAAACTTATTTAGGGATTTTACAAGACCTCGTAAAATCTTACACCATAAAATTATTGATTGTATGAGGTGGCGGGGTAAGGAAACAGAGCCAAAACTATGACATTTTGTCGTACTCGGTAGTGATGATGCGCAGGAACCATATGATTGCGGGTTCAAGTCCCACTTCAAAGTTAAATAACAAATCCGATGAGCCAGACTAAAAAAACAGAGACATTTGATTAAAAAAACAGAGACATTTGATTAAAAACCCGGAGCTAGAAAAAAAACTGACGATGTTTAAGAGTGAAATCATGTTTTGTAGATTTGAATCAAGTAAGTTTAGTAGAAAAAATAAATTGTAGATAATTGTTTTTTTTTGGATTTCAATTGATTTATCAGCAAGGTATTCAGCTGTTTGGGAGGTCTAGATTAAAATTTTAGTGGGGATTCAAAGTTCATGAATCCAAAAATTATTATTTGGCCAAGAACCCGAAAACACCAATGAGTTCACACTTCTCGTTTTCAGCTTAGCATCGGCCTGAGCCCTCACATCCTCAAAAGATTTTAGGCGACCAAGAACTCCCCCCCCCCCAATGAATGCTTTTTCCGTGTGTTTGTCTCCGACGTCTCAGACTAACAGTATTTTAGTAACTGTTGCTAAATTTTATAGCCATGGTGATTTTGCTAGGGTCGATTATTTTTATATCATCACGTTTGAATATATCTGTTTTTTAGATTTACTTTTAAGCATGTATTCTGCACCGCGCCGAGTAATACCTGAAATAAAAAACAATTATTGTATGGTTTGTCAGCAGTTTTGAAAGGTTTAGATCAAAACATGTGTTTTTAGGCTTGCCGTCCCCCTTCAAAAATTTGATAATGTTGTTACTGCAAGCCCTTTTTTAAAAAAAATTTATGTTATTTGAAAGAAAGAAAAGGTTTTTCATCAGAAAAGGTTTTCGCACAAAAATTGCCAAAAATGAGTGAAGTCTTCTCACCTTCCTTTCTCGTCACGCTACTGCTTTATTGCATGACATTTAGATCTCTTAAGCGATTGGCAGTTCTTCGTGGTTAAATTGAAAGCGACGCTAAAATTATAATGATATCTATTTTTTTGTTGCAAAAAAAACTTGCAGAAATGGATGTGACATTAGACGACATCAATTCAGCCGCGCTATACTTTTAACTTTAATAAAAGTTTATAAAACGAAGCATTTTTGTTGGGCCCGCTTTTTTTAAAGGATTGGGAGTGAAAAGCTTGCAAAGACTCGAAGAGTCTCTGTGTTGAAAAAAATAGAGCGTACAGACAAAATACACGCAGTTTGATCAGTGACTGATTTTCCTCTTTTTTCTTCCGACTTTTGAAGATAGTGACAAAGTATTTGTAATTGAGGAGGTTTTGTTTCTCCAGACAATTTTCGAACTTTGAACTAAATATTTTTGAGCAACTTTGTTTATAGCATCTGAAAAAATATTTAATTTGTGACCTTTATTAAAAGCAATAATATTTTGAAATTTTGGCTAATTTGAGACAATGAAAGCTCAGATAATTCAAGCTATTAACGGGTAAGCGGCAATTTAAACCGCTCAGAAAGCATTCTATTTTAATTAATGCGTTATAAAAGCTAACAACATCTTCTACTCCCAGGTTGACCAAAATGTGCAACCATACGTCGCACCATGCATGGTTCCATGGAAGCCCTGAAAAATTGCCGACGTATCTTTATGTTAAAATAACACATTTTCCATGCATGACACGACGTATGATTCCACATTTTTTGAAGTATGGGGGACTTCAAATAGCCTGAGGGGTATAGCCTGAGGGGTAATTTTTTTAAAATCAAAAACAAAAACAATCAATTTTTCTGAAAGCTTATAATAACTATTTCAAAGACATTTCTGAGCTTTGCCTTGATACGAGCAGTGTTGTTGTTCCAATTTTCGATACAAAAAAGGAATATTTGTGCTCGGTATGGTTTTTTTATTCAGACAAGTGTCGACTTTTTAACTAGCCATTTTTGACGGAATTTTTTAGTATCATTCAGCTGTGATCATTTTGTAAAGTTATGGGGTTTAAAGATTGCCATTTTGGTCAATTTGGGACAGTTACCGCACGATATATTTCGCGTAAGCTGAGAGAGATTTAACCCGTCTTAGAAATTGTTCCAAATTGGTTGAAAGAAAACCATTTGCAATAATTGATTTGTTACAAGGAGCGAAATCTATTCTGTACTTTATATGCCGTGTGGAGAGATAATTTTCATAGAAAAAATTTCAATTAGAAAAAAGTTTTTCATTTTTTTATTACATTTGAATTGTTAATGATATTTATGTTATTACTGCTCCATAAATCTTTAAGGCTGTCGGAACATTCAGGACTTCGCCCTGATACGAGCAATCTTATTCTTCTTTAATTTTAAAGCTATATTACCTCTGTTGCCTCTCATTCTTGTATTTTCCCAGCTTCGATTTTAATTGACTGTTCTCGCGAAAGTTTCATAATACAATTTTAAGACCCAATAGCTCGAAGCATTCTAGAACTTATCGTTATAAAAACGAATCATACAGTTTTTCAGAAAGATGCAAATTTTAAGCAATTCCATAAAAATACTTAGTTGCTTTAAAAGTCTATGATTTGTTATTTTTGTTCTAACCTTTTGAAAAAGGAAGAGGGACTTTCTATTCGGGTGTGTTGTTTTTTTTTTGTGTTCCAAGCGAAATCAGCTACCAACATTATTTTCAGAGAAAAGAATTGAGTGATATATCATATTCAAAACCTTTCAGTCGTGATTCGAACGATTTAGAAAAAAATTAAAATGCTCACAAATCAATTTAAAAACGCTCTAAAAAATTTGGAGTAGAGTAAGCGAGTAAAACGAGCAAGTAGTGCAAATTTTTTGTAGAGCCCGTTTTTGCGGCTAAAACGAGCGGGTAGAGCGAGCAAGAACGCTTTTTATGCTTAATTTAGTCGTTTACAAAAGCTTGTTTCTGCTTTATGTTAATTTTACTCAAAAAAATTAGTTCTCAGAGGTTTCGGTGCCATTTCGGAAATCAAAAACTTGTGAAGTTCAAAAAACTTTTGCAAATGTCTTTTCTTAATTTCAGCGAAATAAAAAAATGAACTTTTAAATGATTGGGTTTTGGTATTCTAAGCCATTTTCTTCAAAAACTGTAGTCCTGTTTGCCTGAAAAACTATTACTAACGAATATGCCTAAACAGTTTTTTTTTTACTTTCAGAACTTTTTATCACACTACGCAGAAAAAGCTGCACTAAATTGAAAAAAACTTTACTTCTAGCTTTTCAAAGACTACCGTCGCAAAACTTTGGGCTACGTTATCAACCGGTTATCTTTGTATTATATATTACCGGTTAAAATAAAAAAATCTAAATAAACTGAAAAATAATTTAAAATTTGTGTATTTAGGACTACGTTAAGCACACAAACACGGCACAAAAAAATGTAAAATTGCATCTCTCTCAAAATTTTGCAAGCGTTTTGTTCCGACGCTGGAGCTTGATGAGTTGTCATTTTTTCGACTAGTTTTTA